TCCCTCTCCAACGGATGCAATTCCGAGGGATCCTCTTCAGCTCGGCCCATGTCGTGACGGCTGCCTTCACCTCTGCGTCAACACTTCTGTTTTGGTCGACCCACTTTTCGCTTCCCTTATAGATTCCAGTCAAAGGCCTGCCCGGTGACACTAGAAGCAGACTTAGAATAGTTTACTAAATTTTTCAGATTATTATTATTATTTTTATTTATACCTCTTGATTCCTTGGGGACCATAGGGCCGCAACAACATCTCTCCAACGGACAGGATTCCGGACGATCCTCTTCAGCTCGGCCCATATCATATCTGTTTTGGTCGACCCATTTTTCGTTTCACTTATGGATTCCAGTCAAGTGCCTGCTTGGTGACATTAGAAGCAGACTTAGAATATTTTACTAAATTTTTAAGATTAATATTATTATTGTTTGGGGAGCATAGGGCTGCAACAACATCTCTCCAACGGACGCGGTTTCGGGCGATCCTATTCAGTTCGGCACATGTCGTGACGGCTGCCTTCACCTCTACGTCAACACTTCTGTTCCAAGTCTGTTTTGGTCGACCCATTTTTCGCTTCCCTTGTGGATTCCAGTCAAGGGCCCGCATGGTGACACTAGAAACAGACTTGTGTGGCCGATTCATCCTCATTTCCGTTTCTTGATGTCAAGTTGTACCTGTGTATTTCTCTGCAAACCGGTGCTATTTTGCTGGTCTTGTATAGGATTCTGATGTTCCAAACCTCTATTCCGTCTGTTAACTTAGTCGTCAGAAAAGTTGTCGGCGCTTCGGCTATAACAATCAGCATTCATATTTAAAGCTGTTATTGCAATATCATAATAAAGTTGTTAAGCTCAAATATTTAACGATGCGATAGGGGAATTTCTATAAATATTTTATAGTAGAATTTGCTATGAGCTTATTTAATCATTAATTGACGAATTAAGATTCATCAGAAAATTTAAATAGGAAAACTGTGAAATTTTTATGAGTATTTCTAGTTTACTAAGATTAGTGTAGTAAAAGTCCATTACTGCAGGGCACCAAGTGAGGCTCAAAATCACTACAGTTATACCAGAGATGCTGCTTGGTATCAGTGAGAAAATAAAAAGAAGGGAAGATAAAAGCTTTTAATGTTTCTTACCAATATCTCATGAATAATGGACTATTCTGTTTTGATTGCATGTAAAGATGGAAAAGACATACCAGAGACACTACTTGGTTTCAGTGAGAAAATGAAAGGAGGAGGATAGAAGTGTTTAACAACTGTTTCAGTAAAATGGAAAAAGTTGTCAGTTTCAAATCTTTTCATTTGTACCCACTTCTTAATCAGCATTCATATTTGATTGTTATTGTGATATTTTGTTAAAGTTGTTAAGCTCAAATATTTAACGATATGATAGGGGAATTTCTATGAATATTTTATTGTTGTAGAACTTGCCATGAGCTTATTTAATCCTTAATTGAAGAATTAAGATTCATCAGAAAATTCAAATAGGAGAACTGTGAAATTTTCATGAGTATTTCTTGTTTACTAAGATTAGTGTAGTAAAATCATTCATTTATGTAAATAGGTGGAGTCAAGCAGAGTTAGCATTAGGTCATTTTGCTAAATGTACTTTCATGTAGTAAACCTTCTATTTTCATTACTTATCTATGAGTTTGTCTTCCTTATTTCTTTCCCTCTGCTATCTCAAAAACACAATAACAGCTTTACAATGTATCATCTAAAATCTTAGATCTACAGCATTTAGCTTAATAATAAAGATGTTTCATCAAATCTTTTTATTTGTACCCACTTCTTAATCAGCATTCATATTTGATTATTATTGTAATATTTTGTTAAAGTTGTTAAGCTGAAATATTTAACGATGTGATAGGGGAATTTCTATAAATATTTTATTGTTGTAGAAATTGGCCATGAGCTTATTTAATCATTAATTGACAAATTAAGATTCATCAGAAAATTCAAATAGGAAAACCGTGAGATTTTCACAGGTTTTTCTAGTAGTTTTTAATTATTTAATTTTTGGCTATGATTAGGAAATGCCTTGTTAAAAAGTGACTCATTTATTGTAAGTTCGATGTAATTTATTACTCGTCTCAAGTCAGAAATATAAGTCCGCTCTGGGTGGCCTTGAAGGAAGCCAGCTTTGAATTAGACATAAAATTCCCTACACTAATTAATCTTAAGAGAGAAACAAGCATCAGTTGCCTCGAGGCTATAAATTTCTGCTGCAAAATTAGTTTAAAGTTTCATGATTAAAAATGTTGGTTGGCTGAATCTATTTACCTGGTTTCTTTGAGATCAGTTCCTGGGCCGGGATTTGTAAAAAGTCATATTTACCTTGAATAAAATAACATCGTCTGCTGAATTATTTTAAAATTATTATTAAGAGAAATGTTCGTAGGATGCGAATTTGGCGAGAAAGACAAATTCGTCCCTTAACTGCAACTGAACTTTTCAAATTTAAATCTTTTTTATAATTATAATCATTTTATAATCAAAATATATGATGTACTAATAGTAAATCTTATTAAACCCAGAGTGATAAAAACAGAAAGAGAGATAGATATAGAGAGTAAAACAGAAAGAAAGAGAGAGAGAGCGAGAGGGACGTACAGAGAAAAAAGATTGTGACACAGAGAGGGATTGGAGGGCGTTCATCTTTGATAAAAGCAGTTACTTGTAGTGAGGGGCTAAATCATGTTTCCTAACCTTAACTATACGTTGAGGATATTTCAGTATTGTTAAGAGAGACTGACACTTTTCTGATCACTATCTTGCAATGGTCATGCGTTGAAAAGTACAAAGTCCAATATTAAAAAAAAATATTAGTAAATCCGACTAATTTACATGGGTCCTGCTATTATTACTATTACTATTACTATTATCATGATTGATGTGGCCTTGTTAAGGCCACAGATGAAGACACAAGAGAGGAATTGAGTTAAACAAATATATTAAGAGAAACAGTAATACAAACATATACAAATGAGTGTTGCAGCAAGAATGCTCGGTCCGACTGTCAGAGCTGACTACTGGAAACTTCACGATATTTATTTGTATAATGATGCGAAATATGGCACAAGGCCAAAAAGTGGGATGGGAAAAAGGACGGTCTTCATCTGTCATAACGTTAAACTTAGCTAGCCACAAACACTGACCCAAACATACAAACATTATTCCTAACACGGAAACAACGCATTCTTACTAACCTGTCTTACTACATCCACCGTAATACCTCATTGTCTCTATGAAAATCTTAAATAGTCCCCATATGTACAACTCTTTGTCTGTGGGGTTTGGGGGAATAAAACAATAATTTAAAAACTAGCACCGATGAGTATCATACTTATTATAAAACCCAGGTTACATGTGTGTGTGTGTGTGTCTGTTCGTTTATACATTGGATCGGATTTCCTACACTTTTCAACCGATTTCAACAAAACTTCACAGGACTACGTAAAATAACCTTTCAGTGGTTCTGACAGCGCCAAAGGATTGGAAAAACACAATTGTTTTTGCACGAAATCAATTTGAAAACACGATTAAGAGGCATCGCTGTCGCGAGAATGAAAGGGGGACAACTCATATCTTGTTATACTTATTATAAAACCCAGGTTGTTTGTCTCTGTGTGTGTGTGTGTGTGTGGTGTGTATGTGTGGTGTGTGTGTTCGTTTATATATGGGATCGGATTTCCTACATTTTTCAACCGATTTCAACAAAACTTCACTTTTTTTTTGGCAGGTAGTGTTTCTTATTGTCTTGCACACTGTTTTCTTTATTTTTACATTCAGAATGCTTTAAAAATTCCATTTACAAGACAATTGTTTATAATGAAATTCTATTCAATCGGTAGAATCATAACGATTGAAAACAATGTTTTTGTTTGAGTTTGGGTTTGATCAATTCGTAAAAAAAAAAATAATTAAGACATGCGTGTCAGTCAACCTTAAACAATAATCTTTGTCAATTTTATTTTTCAGTCTTTATGATGGTCGATACTTGATCTATCTCTTACTGTTACATCCCCGGGCAACGCCGGGTTCTACTGCTAGTTTACAATATGAATATAATCTATTCACAAGAAACTAAACAAAATAATGTTAGTAACCCCCCGCCCCACAACAACCCTTAAATGTGGCAGAAACATCAGTCAGCTGGACGAAATCAATGCGGGACTATAATAATATAAAAACATTCATTCATCCCAAGCATTCGCACAGACCCGCACTCATTCAGACATAACAACAAATACGAAAGACACACACGCGAAACGAAAGGTGCTCCGCATCCACCAGAGAACTAACATCTCTGACCACCTAACGAAGGAGGGGATGGAGAATTAAAAACAAAAAGCAGTAACTGCTCCTATTTATAGCTGGGAGAGTTCATGCGTGCGTGGGTAAATTAACATAACAATTATTATTATTATTATTATTGAACGTGACAACTTCGTCACAATATATTTGTCTGTCTTTTTATTTTAAAAATACGTTTTTTTTGTTTTTTTAATATAGACGTTTTTTATGCGTGATTGCGATAAAGTCCTTCAAAAATTTTCTATAAGACATTCTCCGTGATAAAAAAATATATGTGGAATGATATAGTTCTTCTGATTTAATCAAATTTATCATGCTTCTACCGCATATGGCAACTACTGCTTCATTTCAAGAATTCGTTTTTCTTTTCATGTTTTCGGAAGATCCAAGGCCACGTTGGGTAGTAATGCTCGTTAAATTATATAAAATATTGATTTAAAAAAAAAGACTATATGATAAGGCGAAAATATGTTACTCGATAGAGGATGATGATAGCAATGAAAGAAACTGAAAAAGTTGTAATAATAGAATTTATTTTTTTTATTTTGTATGATTGAATTTTAAGAGGATGATTCGATTGTTTTTTTTATGGCCGAAGATATGGTTTTCAATGTAAACCCGGATAGAGTTATTCGCACGGAAGAGAATTATTTAATACTTGAAAAATACATATTATATCTTAAAACAACTCTATACACGTGTATGCAAATGGTAGTCTCTCCTTTTGTGCGCAGGCAGATATATTTATGTGTCCATATAAGCACGAAAGAAAAGAGAGAGAGGCGGGGATAGATAGATAGAGAGAGAGAGAGTAAATGTATTGGTAAGAAAGAAAAAAGAAAGAAAGAAAGAAAAAGTAAAAGAGATGCAAAATGCGTGTAGCTTACAGAGAAAGAGGGTGAAAAGTGTTTGTGTGTGTGTGTGTGTGTAAGAGGCTGAAAAGAGAAAAATAGTGTGCAAGAGAGGGAGGGAAAGAAAGGAAATAGAGAGAAAGATTAAGTGTTCGTGTTTTACAGAGAAAGAGAAGAAAGTGAGAAACTAAGAGATAGATAGATAGATGGATAGATAGATAGAGAGAGAGAGAGGGAGAGAGAGGGAGAGAGAGGGAGAGAGAGGTGGGGGATTAAATATATGGACATGTTGTCTAGAAAGAGAAAGAAGTGAAATGTGTACGTAGGAGAGAGGGAATGAAACGTTAAAGTGTATATATCAGAGCGAGACGGAGAATATTCGAGTTAGAGAGGAAGAATAAAAGCAAGATAAAAAAGAGCGATTATCATTGTCTAACAGAGAGAGAAATTATAAATAGAGAGATATTAAATGTGTGAGGAAGAGCAAGAGAGTTAAAAGAAAAAGACAGAGAAACTATGTGCTTGCTTATTAAAGAGACAAAGACGGAATGTACAAATGCGTGTAAGGGAAAGAAAAAAGATAAAAAGAGAGACTAATTGTGTATATTGGAGAGAAAAAGAAGAGGCTAACAGCGTGTATAAGAGAGAGAGAGAGAAATTGATAAATATAGAGAGTGTGCGTATAAATAGAAGAGAGAAAGAAGTGAGAGAGATAAATGTGTGAAATAGTGAAAGAGAAAGAGAGAGAGAGTGAAAGAGAGAGAGAGAGAATGTTGTAGAGTAGTTTTCACAGTGGAGGCTTGTATTTCACTAAGTCGGTCCTAAATTAGGTTCGACGTACAAAACGTTAGGAACTTGAAAATAATAGTTAATGACGCAGCAATCTAGTTGTGGTGGTTGATACTTCAATGCCCGACATCGACTGACTCACTCAACTCCACTGAGTCCCCTGGCGACTGCTACTACTACTACTTATTATCTGTGGGAGAGTCTATTTACAATAGAATAGGTATGATCTAGTATAACAGAGAAAGAGAGCGAGAGAGAGAGAGAGAGACAAATGATAAAAATAAAGATTGTGTGTGCGAATAGAAGAGAGAAAGAAGAGAGTGAGAGATAAAGTGCATGTGTGAAATAGTGGAAGAGAGAGAAAGAGAAAGAGAGAAAGAGAAAGAGAGAACGGCTTTAGCATCGAAAAGAAAATAAGTTGAACATTGGAGGAGTTTGAATGTTTTCGATGCGTTTTTCCTAATCGGTTTGGAATTGAGGCTACAGATTCTAAGAGCTCTTAAATAGACACCTTGTAAATCTGAGTGTGTGTAGCCACCAATTATTATCCGATTAGGAAAAAATACATTGAGAACACTTTCATAATCCTAAGTGCATGCTTACAAAACCCACAGTAGAAAAATCCACAGATAAAAATAATCATAAAAAATTAGCCCCTGATAAAACTACGCACATAATTTTACCTACCAATGATACACAGTTATAACTATATAAATACAGAGATCGGAAGGGGAGAGACACTGCTGTCGTTTTCCGCAGACAACAAGTGAAAAGATTATATTGAATCAATTACCGTAAATCTTCATGTATAATACGCCTTCATCCGTAATACGCACCCCTAAAATTGTTCTGAAAGTGTAGGAAATTGCTTCTACTCATGCATAATACGCACCCCTTGTTTGGTAATCAAACCCTATAAATTGTGCTTATCCAATTTCATTACGGCCAGTGTTTTTTAAATGGTTTTAAATATAGAATAATATTATTCTAATTTAGCTTTATGATAATTCTTATTTTATTTTACATTTGTAAGTATTGTTAGGTACATATGATTGTATTTGACATCACTATGAGGTCGCAATCGGCGAATGTTAGTGTCAAATTGTCGGATGTTTATGGTGTGTAGTCATTTCTCAACTGAAAAAAGACCTATGAAACGGCAATTTTTTAAAGATTTTTTTGTCGCTGTGCATAATACGCAGCCCTAATTTTGCTTATTAATTTTTTTTAAGAAAAAAATGCGTATTATGCATGGGGAATAACGGTATATATCGTCTGCTAGGAAAGTTGATTCACTGTGTCGTGTTGGACAATTTTTTCACGCCAGAATCTCTCTTGCATATTTATAAGTCTACCATTCGTCCTTTCTTTGAATATTGCTGCCACATCTGGTCTGGTGCTTCTGTTATATATTTAGAGATTCTTGATAAAATCCAAAGAAGAATCTACAACCAACTTTGATCTTCAAAAATTAAAATGTAATGTAAATAGTTATTTTAGGTCTTAAGTTTTTTTTTTTTTTTTTTTTTTTTTTTCGTTTCACCCCAAGCAAGGCGAGAAGCCACTAGGACGCAAGGGGTTACAGAAAATTTGGAGCAAGATCAGATAGGAGTGATAGAGGAAAAGATGAGGAGAAGGATAGTGGATAGATCAAGGTAACTGGAGATGTCGATTGACATTACATTTGAATAGTTGGATATTATAGCTCGCAGGGAAACAGGAATAGGGAAGTGAGTTCCACAGGCGAGAGGTGCGAGATATGAAGTTATTGGAGTAGAAGAGACGGGTACATTTAACAATTTCAACAGTGAAAGGGTGAGAGCGGGATGCCGGCCTCGTAGAGCGCTTGAATTCATGAAGTCTGGGAACCAGCGAAAGCAGCTCATCGGAGCAGTTACCGTGAAAGTATTTGTAAAAAAGACAGAGAGAGGCGACGGCACGTCTGTGAGAGATCGACTGCAGACGAGATGCCAGATCAGGGCCAATGGCATTGCATATCCGTCTCTGGATCTTATTAAGAACCCCGAGGCAAATAGAAGGGGTTCTAGACCATATATGGCAGCAATACTACATGCAAGGGAGAATGGTTGATTTGTAGATTTGAAAAATTCTTTTCATTTTATTGGTCTTTCACCTTAATACCTTTTTATTTTCATATATTCTCAGTAACCACTTGCGTCTTAGTGTCTTTATTGCCTTGCTTGGGGTAAAATAAAAAACAATGAAAGATATAGGCGGCACCAAACGGAAGAGAAACAAGAATAAAACGGAAGTATGTACAAGAATATACAAAATAAACTACACAAAATGCCCAATGGCATACATCCAGACATCCTTAAACAGTCTATATTTGCATCTTTGAGAGGAATTACCGAAAAGCAAGTTATACGCACTTATTCATTGTAGCATACCTGGCAACGGAATTATGGAGTTGTAAGCGTGCGTGTATTTTAGGTGTGGTCCTTGTTCATATATGTTAAACAATTAAAATTAAGCCCACAAATTTTGGGCTTCTACTACGGGGAAGTTTATTCATTTTTAATATGGTGACTGTTGGAAAACAAACTTCTCAATGGCTCTAGGGCATGCCCGTTTTCTTTTTTCTTTTTTTTTTCGTCTCAGAATTAAAGTGGTGTAAGTAAAGATAACAATGGTTAAAATGATCGAGATGAAGTCGGCTTTGCGCTTAGTTGGAACGACCAAATTACTTCTTGAATAAAGCTGCAAAGCACAATCGCACGATGTTGCTGGAAAGAGGAAAAAGAGTTCAGTCGTCAGTAGACCCGGGAACGTAATTACTACAAAACCAATTGGGGGGGGGAGTCCTGGGTATGACGATCAACTATATCCAATAGTGTGGAATCACCTCTTAATTGCTGACCTTCTCATGTCCAGCCTGACCCGGAGTAGTAGCACCTGTTAGAGTCCCAGATATGAGCAAATAGTTTACACCCAAAATGGGGTCAAAACGCTATGAAATTGCAAAAACAGGTTTTAGTACCAGCAATAATTTTTGTAAAAAAATATTACCAGCAAGTAATTTTTGAATAAAAATTTATTACCAGCAATATATTATTATCAGTAATACATTTTTGAAAAAAATATATTGCCAGCAATACATTTTTCAAGAAAAAAGTATTACCGGTAATACGTTTTTGGAGAAAACTATATTACCAGGAATACATTTTTGAGGAAAAAAATATTACCGGCAATACAGTTTTGAAGGGAAAAATAGAAGCAACAAAAACCTTGTTGGAATTAAATAACCTATTGAGGTTGATATACCGTAAAACAAACCAAACCAAGCCAAACCAAACCAAACAAATGCTCACAAATCATACCATAATGAACACAGAAATGTTCAAATGAATAAAGAACTAATTAAAAATTCATTTTTGAAAAGTAATTATTACCAGCAATAGCTTTTTGGAAAAAAATATAACCAGCAAGAAAAATCTTGTCGGCAATAAATAACCAATTGAGGTTGATATACCGTAAAACAAAACCAAACAAAACCAATATATACTGAGATAGATAGATAGATAGATAGATAGAAAATATAACACGCAATAAAAATGCTGTCAGCATTAAATAACACATTGAGGTTGATATGCCGTAAAACAAATCAAACCAAACCAATATATACCGAGATAGATAGATAGATAGATAGATAGATAAAAAATATTACCAACAATAAAATTTTGTCGGCATTAAATAACCCATTGAGGTTGATATTTTTTTTTTTTTAAGCATTGTGCCCCAAGCAAGGCGTGAAGCCACTAGGATGCAGGGGGTTTGGAGCGAGAGCAGATAAGAGTGATAGGAGAAAGGAAGAGGAGAAGGATAGTGGGTAGATCAAGGTAATTGGAGATGTCGATTGACATTACATTTGAATAGTTGGAGATTATAGCTTTCAGGGAAACAGTAATTGGGGAGGGTGTTCCACTGGCGAGAGGTGCGAGGTATGAAGCTATTGGAGTAGAAGAGACGGCTACATTTGAAGGTTTCTACGGTGTAAGGGTGAGCGGGATGCCAGCCTCGTAGGGCGCTTGAATTCATGGAGTCTGGGAACCAGAGAGAGCAGCTCATCAGAGCAGTTACCATGGAAGTATTTGTAGAAAAGACAGAGAGAGGCGACGGCGCGTCTGTGAGAGAGTGACTGCAAGCAAGACGCTAGATCAGGGCCAATTAGATTACATATCCTTCTCTGGATGTTGTCAAGAACTCCGAGGTAAGCAGAAGGTGCTCCAGCCCATATGTGGCAGCAATACTCCATGCAAGGGCGAATGGTTGTTTTGTATATTTGAAGTATCGATTCAGGGAGAAAAATTTCCTGGCGCGGCACAGAGAGCCAACTTTCCTCGCGGTGGAAGAAGCAATTGACTCAATGTATTTGTTCCATCTCAGGTCAGCAGTCAGCGTGAGACCGAGCAGACGCAGGGAGTTGCTCTCAGGAAGTTGACTATCAGACATTTTAATGGGGGCAGGGAGGATCTATATGGTGGTTAATGGAGAGTAATTTAGTTTTTTGTGGCGTTAAAGTTGACCAGCCAATTCTTGCCCCAGTTAACAACCGATTGGAGGTCCATTTCAAGACGCACGGCCAGGTTAGTTTTGTCGCCGACACTAGACTTGTTTTTGAGGCAGGAGTAAATTATAGTGTCGTCTGCATAGATGCCGACCTGGGAATCTATAGCTTCAGGAAGGTCGTTGATGAAAATGAGGAAAAGAGTGGGGCCAAGGATGGAGCCTTGCGTAAAACAAAACAAACCAAACCATTATTTACTGAGATAGATAGATAGATAGATAGATAGATAGATAGATAGATAGATAGAAAGAAAATATAACCAACAATGAAAATGTTGTCGGCATTAAACAACCCATGGAGGTTTATATACCGTAAAGCCCCCCCAAAAAAAAACAACAAAAAAAAATATTAAAACAGACCAAACCAAAGGGGAGGTAATCTTATTTCCGTTTCCTCTACTATTAGCATCATGAGAAAAGTTATTTCTTTTTCTTTTTTATTATTATTATCATGATTTTATTTGCCAATTTTATTTTATTTTTCTCACGATACGACCTCAAATAACCAGTTTGATTAAAGGCGGAGATAATTTAATAGAGCATTCTTAGAAAATACATTGCCCTTTCAATTCTCTGCAGTCAAATTTAGACCAGATTAATATAGGCTATCGTACGTTATGCAAACCTTCTCTGACAGAAGATCTGATAATATTTATTGCATCTTCCTTTTTCTTCTTCTTTTATGTGCCATGTCCGTTCAGGACGTAGGCGATCACGGCTCTCCACTTCACCCTATCCCTTATAGTACTCAATATGTTTTGTCATATTGCTACTCTTTTTAAAAAGCAATATTATGCTCTACTATTGTATCGAGCACTGTTTTTTAAAATTAAAATAAATGCTAAGAACTCTGAATTATAAATCTCATTGTTCATTCATATTATTTTAATACACACACACACACACACACACATATATATATATATATATATATATATATAAATATATATATATATATATATATATATATATATATATATAGAGAGAGAGAGAGAGAGAGAGAGAGATTGTATTGTAAAATCTTACTGCCTGATGATACCTGATTGGTTTGAAACCCCGGTAACGGAAATGCTGGTGCACCAATTATTTTATGTCTTAAATTGCATTAGATCTTGAAAATTGAATTTAGCGCTTTTTTTCCTTTTTTTTTTTAAATAAATTTCACCGTTTTTTGACAAATATTCTTTTTGTTTGAATAGTTTAGTGGTTCACTTGCCGATTCTCACCATGTTGTCAGCACAGTGACTTCTTGAAGTTATCGGCCTGAAAACTATACCAAGCCTCGTGAGTAAAACTGACGGAAATTAAGCCGTCGATGGTTCTGCTAACGCGTATATTTTGCTGCATAGTTTCTCCAAAAATTCTACAGACGTTGCGAAAACGTTTTTTTTTTAGAATTCCCACAACACTCCCACAACGTTAACTTGTTACGTTTCAAATACGTAGCTTTGTAATCTTACATTAACAGACAATAAATAATGCCTGACTGAATGATATTATAATGTACATTCATCGTCTAAGTTAATGATATTCAATTAGAAATATAAGGAATAAAGTTTTATATTTTAAAATATTCCTTAAAGAACCAAGCAAATATACAACATCTTGTTTCACTTAGTTCCAATCAAAGAACATGGTGGCCCTCGTTTATAAGAATACACGTTTAGCCTTGCAAAATGAAACTGGCGGCAGCCATTTGCATGTTGGAATCAAGATGGCAGACAGGACGGAAATCGAATCACTTCATATGCTGCCCTTGCCAGAGCATTTGCAGACATATAATCAGTGAAACGTAATTTTTATTGTAGCTATGACCTGGGGAAGATTACTGTTGTTTTCCCTAGCTTTTTGTAATTGTGTGTTGCGTGACTAGTAGGCTATAAAATGGCGGCGAAAAGCTTTGTACTCATAACACTTGTCTATAATTGTATATATATATTGAGTTCACTTTGTCAAGAACAATAACAACAAAAATAATAATAATTCTTCTTTTTCTCCTTCTTCTTGCGATCATGACTGAATTATTACAGGTCCTATCTGTAACCGGGTCTGGGTGCTGTTGGTACCAGTTGCACATTCCTTACCATAAAAGTTGCATATTTTCCAGTGCAGATATTGGCCCATTTTCTCATGCCGTGTTTTATATTCGGTCGATGGTAGCACTGTGAAAACTGATACACGATGCTCAATTGCTTCTGGATTATTATTATTATTACTATTATTATTATTATTATTATTATTTGCCTTCATGTAATTTATACTGACTTTTAAGCTAAGTCCTGTGGAAGGCTAATTGCGTCTCCGGCTCAAATCTAAAGGCACCTCTGGACCAGCTAAGAAAACAGCAATGAGAATTTAGAAGAAATATTTTTGATTCACTCGATCTAATTTCAAAACCTTAATTTAACTCTAGTCCAATTCCGGCCCAAAAACTGATTTGGGCTGAAAGGTTGATTTGGGCCAAAACCCCGATTTGGGCTGAAATTCCAATTCAGGCCGAAATTTGAGTTCTTCAAATCACAAATTCAGCGGAACTTCAAAACCTCACGTCACGAAATCCTCTCATTTTAATTCTGATTGCTTGACATTTTGAAGAAATAAAATTGATTTACTCATTTCAAAAAGTTTGGGAGATATTTTAAACTGAATTCATAACAAAAATGTTAAAAGATTTTCTGTTAGTTTAAATATAAATTAAAACTTTTAAAATCACTATTTTTTTTCAGTTATTTTAAAATTTAAATTTTTAACTCTTCCCAATTCCATTGCCGCATGTTCAATCCCCAGATGAAGATTGTAAGGGTTTCAGACACATGGACTGCCTGACAGAATTTGGCGTTTATTTATTTAGACAGACCAAATGATTTTTACCGGTTCTTTCCTGATCCAGACACAAATCCCGATTCTGGATATCACGAGAAGAAGGACAGATTTTGAATCCCGGGCTCAGTCTGATTTCCAAAAAGTTATAATATATCTATGTAAACGAAGTGTGGCCCGTGTTAGAGGGGTTTCAGACACACGGACAGACAGACAAAATTTGCTGTTTATTCATCTAGAAAAAGAATTTATTTTACATGCAACAGTTCCATTGGTGAGTTATAAATTCCATTCGAGCAGATTCTTCCCATGAACCTCCACGTTTTAGGACCGACTCCCTAGAGGATGCTTCCCCGATCACTACAATCTTAACCTGTTCAACACTAGGATTAACCGTTATCTTCCCCACATAAACTCTGCCTTTTACTCTGTAACCCTCTACCTCGAAGTAGAACAAACACACTCCTTAGAGGATGCTTCCCCGATCACTACAATTTTAACCTGTTCAAGTCTAGAGTCAACAGATATCTTCCCCACATATCCCCATAAACTGTGCCTCTGAGAGTTAGTGAGGTTTCAGACTCATGGACGGACAGGCAGAATTTGCCGTTTATTCATTTAGATGAAGCCTTACTTGCACACAAATACCCTTGTGAAAGGTATAAATCTATCTCTTCCCCCACGCCCTTGGTATGGGTTGAATAGCAGGACAGACTGGGTTGTTTAGCCTTGGTTGGAAACCAGTCTAACACGGAAAGAACTGGCAACCTACTGCGGGAAAAATCTGCCTCGTCAGTCATGTATCGGAATAGACATGATCGCCCAAGTGTGTGTCACGTATGGTACTTAAATGACTGCCAATAGGACAGTGAACACCGAATAAGCTGCACTAGTTGTAGTTTTTTCCCATCACCGCTGAAGAGTGTATCACGTATGACACTTGGCTGATTGACCTGTGGCCCCTCTGTTACAGTTTTTTGTGTATAATATGTACTAGTGAGCCAATTCAAATGATTTGACTCACTTTATAGTCCAATAGAAGGTTAACTAATCAGAAGACGTAGAACATTCAGTCCGTCGTGTATAAAGGCGGCCATTTTGTCTACTCTACTCGAATGTCCAGTCCAGCTTGTAAGGCGAAGAGATAACAGAAGGACGAACTACGCTCTGCTACTTTTACCAAAAATATCCACAGCTAACCTGAACAACGCTTTCCTACTCTCTTCGGAATATTCACTGCTAACCTCTGGATTCTATACTCGAAGACGACCGTCATGATGAATAACACCCTCATCAATGTTTCATTAGTATTTGTTTCTCCAGAAAGCATCCAAAGATCACAGACTAAATTTAAAGATATTTTCAAGAACTCATCATAATCGAAAATGAAAACACTGACGACGTGTCATTTGTAAACATTTGTAAACATTTGAAAGTAAAACTTTTCTTATTTTTTTATTCGCTTTATCTATGATAAACCTGCATTGTTTTTGCTTTCTGTTGTTATCTCGTATTCATCGTGACGAAATGATTATATTTTAAAGCAACCTTCAAATTTTTCAACAAGAGGTGTTAATCTCTGTGCGTATCTTAAAACATACATTTCTGTCGGCTTATGCTTGCGTTTATAAATACATTTTTTCAGATACGCAATTACATCGATAAAGACGCCGAATAATGATGAAAAAAAAAAAGCATTTATGTTACCCAATATAGTGTAGCTTAGTGGCTATCGTTGCGCAGAATAGGACCGGCACACCGAATTCCATTTCCATCCGAAATACACCGATAACAATATGTTTTATTTTCGTGCTCCACCCGTTAAGCTATGGATTAAATAGCGAGGCAAATTAGTACCAGAACCTTGGTTGGAATGTAGGAGATATAAAATTCAGAATTCACATGTGGCGGGCGGGGGGGGGTAGCTATCTGAAGACATCGTCGCCTACTGTCCACTGTTCCTTTTTATCAATTCTTTTAAACTATTTACATTATACGGACTATTGTCCTCATCTTTGTCACCATATTTATTACAACGTTTCGGCCGTTGTACGCTCCGTCCTTCTTCAGGTGTTTGGAATATCGAACTGAACCCTTTATTTTGCTCACTGGGGTAGACTGTTCTAGTTCCACGTGCCATGTTTAATGGATGTGCCTTCAACGCTTTTATCCATTAAGCCATGTGTCCTCAAGAACATATGTGTTATGGGACCTTACCCATAATAACATAATGGACTATTCCATGCGTAATAAATACTGCACCTCAAGAGGAAGCAGAGAGTTCAGTCCGAAGTCTAGAGTTCAGTCTGAAGTCTGGAGTGAAGTCCGTCAGGAGTCAGTCAGTCGAGTCAGAGGCAGTCCGAAACAGAGTCGCGTTCAGACAATTACTACTAAACCTGATTGTTCGTACTAATACTTTCTTCTTCCCTGTATATATTCCTGTTTGTAATATATCTGTGTTATTC